ATTAATAACTGAACACGTAATATAATACAATATGCCCTCTCGGGTCTTTCGTCTTTCGCAGAACCACAAATCTCGTTTGTGAATCAAATCAAAATCAAATAAACTTAGGAAAATTAAAACTGAATAATTTATCTTATCTGTGGAACGCTTTAAAGTAAATAAACAAATATCGCTTGAATAAAACACAAAATAATAAAAATGGTCCACCTTTTAGTGGCCATTTCTAGTCTTTGTAACGCGAATCGAGGTTTGAGTTTTTCGCGGATGTCGCCGATGTTTCAGGCTCCGCCTCAATGTCCCGTTGACTCACCAACCCTCTTCCCGTGGCTGGAATTTCCTCGTTCGCCGCTATCCCCATTATGTTGTTACGAGCCTGGCCCAACATCGCGTTTGCGATATCCAACTGAAAATTCGGCTCGTCGGCAGCAGGAATTGTGGCCGGATGCGCGACCGTTGCAGGCGATGGCTGGAAAGCCAACGGTTGCAAACTCCTCGCCATTGATGCTAAAAACCTTTTCGCATCAATGCTATCTTGAAGGTCGCGTAACTCCTCTGGTGTAGGATTGATGTTAGCCACTGTTGCGCTTGGAACTTCGCACCTCTGGTGTTGTAGAAACATTTCATGCCTCTTGATATTATCCTCTGTTTGTTTCAGATATTTTCCGGTGCTATCCCTTGGTCTTTTAGCTGCTGCTAGCTGTTGCTTCGTAGGGGAATCGCTGTCCTTCCGGATTCTCGTGTAAGTCCTCTTCCTCTTGGTAATTTTAGTTTCTAGCCTCTCATCCTCCTTATCCGACTCGTTAATTTCACGTACTACTTTAGTTTTCTTTATTGTTTTAGATTTACCCACCTTTGGAAGTGGTACTACCGCCGTAGAAGCTGTGGATGTGGAAGCCGGTTCTATCTCTTCGCGATCTCGATGAATTACGGTAAGTATGTCGCGCTTGAATCTCGGATCCTCCTTTTCCACTGACGGATCTGCCACGAATTGACTCAGTGTGGCAAAGTCTCCTTCGTCTGAGCCGATTGATGAAGAAGCTTTCGTTATCTTGTCTGGTAGTATATCGAATGCCAATCTGTATATATTATTGGTGGCCTGCACCTCGGGTACTAAATATCTCGCCGTCATTATTGTTTTTACCTCACACAGCGGATTTTCATCACGATCGTGGAAAATCGTGGTATCGCGTATAGCCCGGGTCTTATCACCACGCCTGTGGCACTCAAGGATGGCGTCCGCCACCTCCTTGTCGAATTCCTTCTCTAACTCGATCTCTTCCTCTGTCGCTATTTGTGGCATCTTCTCGAGTTCTGCGCGTAGCGCATTATTCTGTAGTTGTAACTTCTCGAGAGCCCATCGTTGTTTCTGACGTTTCTGTTGAAATATGCGTAATTTACACGCTACGTGAAGTTGGCTGCAGAGCAGCGTAGCGAGAGCATGTGTGAGTGAGTGCTTGTGTCGTAAGACTGAGCGGAGCGAGCACGAAAAGAGCACGCAGAGAGAGCATGCCGTATCCGCGCGCAAGCTAAGTTGTATCCATGGATAGCATGGGAATCGCGCAACGAAATTAATAAATATTCATTGATTTATATTCATAAAAAGCTGCTGTGTAAGTGTTCATTATTATTATTCTCTTGATCTGGACCCCAATTTGTTTAACATGGTAGCAGAGCGTGGTTGGTGAGTGATCAAGGATATGTTCGCACGTGTCTCGGAATTATTCGGAAGAAGGGAATCCGACGAAGAAGATAAAAGTGAGCAAAAGGACAGTGAATCGAGTCCGTTAAAATACTCAAAAAGTGAAACCGAAAAGTTGGAAAAATTTAGAAAAACTTTAGAAAAACTGTTGATCAAGGAGATCGAAAGAATAGTGATCTTGAAGAGTGAAATTTTCCGAGCAGAGAATAAGAAAACCAAAATGTCGACGAACGACGAGTTTAAAATTCCGAGATTTGATGGAAGTGACTACAGTCTATGGAAAAAGAGAATTTTGCTGTTTCTGAGATACAAGGAGTGCTATGATCAAGCGGCACGTGGGCGAACAAACCAAGAAAATGAAGAAGAGTGGAATAAGAAGAACTTGAAAGCGATGAACATAATTTATTGCAGCATAACCAACCAGCAGCTCGAGTTTATATGTGATGAGGATACGGCATTGAAAATAATGAACAAGTTCGACAGTATGTATTTGAAGCAATCCACCGCCCTGCAAATATGTGTGCGAAACAGACTGGATAAAATGAAGTTGCGTGACTTTGAAGACGCAAGTACCTTCTTCAGTGAATTTGAAAGAATAATTAATGATTTGAAAAGTGCAGGTGCGAGTGTCAGTGAAAGAGAAAAGCTCGATTATATGTTGCAAATGTTGCCCGATTCTATGTGTTATATCGGCGATTTGATTGACTCAGTGCAGGAAAGTGATAAAACCTGCGAATTCTTAAGGAATAAAATCTCTGTGTGGGAGATGAAAAGCCGAAGTGCTGAGAAGAAAAAGCACAGCGCTTTCAAAGCTGAAAATAAGAATGGATCCTGTCATGGTTGCGGAAAATTCGGACATTTTGTCAAGGATTGCTGGGCCACTGGCAACGCTGGGAGCAGCTCCAGAGGTGGTAACAGCGGAGAGGCGCAAGCACCAGGAGGCGCGCGCCAGCAACAGCGGCTGCCGTAGCAGAGCCGGGGCTCCTGGAGAGGGGGCGGACGCGACAAAAGCCGGAGAGGGAGATGGCAGACGCGCGGCGGAGCGGCGGGCCACTACTCCGAGCAGCTGGACGACTCATCAGCCGGTACCTTCATAGCGCAAGTAGAGTGTAAGAGCGAGGCAGCGGCCTACACTAGCGCGAAGTATGATATAGAATGGATACTGGACAGCGGGTGTTCAGACCACATTATTTATTAATAATGACGCGTATTTTGAAAAATCTGTTGTTTTGAGAAATCCAATCAACGTTAAAGTAGGTGACGGTAGAACACTTAAAGGCACTAAAGTCGGTAATGTTGTTACTTATTTTGAAGTAGATGGTAATCAAATGCGAATTGATTTATTGAATGTTTATTATGTTAAAGAGATGGATAAAAATTTGATTAGCTTCGCAAAAGTGACAGATCGCAATAAAGTTGTTTCTATTGGTAATAATTCAAAAATTTATAACGATAAAGGCGTGTTGATCGGAGTAGCTACTAAGAATAATGGATTGTATAAAATAAATAGTTTTAACAACCGAACCGATTCGTACGTAGGTAATATTGAGAAAATGACACAGAAAGAAAGATACCATAGATTATTGGGTCACGTAAATTTCCAATACTTGAATAGAATGTGCAAAGATAAGCTTGTTGACGGGATGCCCGATGTATTAGAACCGATCTATTTGAAATGCGGAACGTGTCTGCAATATAAGATGCACAACCTAAAATTTGAAAAAAATAGATACAAAGCGCGAGGTATATTAGATATAGTTCACACGGATGTGAATGGACCGCATGCCACGACGGGCTATGACGGGTCCAAGTATTTTTTATCTTTTATCGATGATTATAGTAAGTGTGCAGTAGTTTATACGATTAAACAAAAGGCAGAGGTTCCAAAGTGTTTTGAAAATTATTTGAATGTAGTTGAAAATTTGACCGGCAAAAGAGTAAAAAAATTAAGGTGTGACAACGGGCGCGAATTTATAAATAATAAAATGTCGCAAATAGCAGAGGATAGAGGTATTATACTCGAACCTTGTCCTTCATACACACACAAGCTAAACGGAACAGCTGAGCGGTATAACCGATCTATTATGAATTCCG